CTGCCAAGGCCTATGGCTGGGTCAGTGGTCCTACCTCAGCCAGGGTCTGTGTTGATATCCATGGGCCATGTTACCACTGGGGGTCATAGGAGAACCGGTCCTGCTCCCTCATAGAGAAAGCTGCCTTCCCCAAACCCCTTTGCGGGCTGCTCCAATAGGAGACCTGGCCCCACACTTGGGAGAGCAGGCTCCACCCATCGTCATTCATGAGAGAGAGCTGGCCCTGATATTGTGGGGACCTGAGAGCTGGCCCTGACCCTTGCCTGAGGGGGGCAGTCCCGGTGGAGGCCCAGATTGATCAACTCAGCTACCACCCAGGCCCACATTCAGGGCTTTGAGTTTGCCCACCCCAACATCTATGACATGCTGGAGTGTATGAAGGGACTTGGTCTGTGGAACCATACACGCCTGATCTCATGACTTGGGCAACAGGAGGATATTGGAAAGAAGTTTTGGTGGAGGTCCAGTATTGATGGTGTACCAGAAATCAGAGGCCTTGAACCAGATCAACAACTCATTGCAATGAACAGATGTAAGTAAAGCTGTCTGGGCAGAGGGGTATACTGTGTGACACACCTCAGCTCCCAAAGCCACTGTGAGATTGAATGACTATGTGATGGAGAGTGGGAAAGACTAAGGAGCAAAATGTTATTTGTTTTGTTTTTTACCCCAGGGGAGGCTACGAGGGAGGAGGGTAGACATGGAAAGACAGGGAAATGAGTGGGTTTGGGGTTCACAATGTGAAATTTCCAGAGAATCAATTTAAAAACCTGTAAGAAAAAACAGAAGAACATACACACACAGTGGGTTTCTATGTGACTTCATCTAGCCTCAGTTTTGGCTAGCATCGCTATATACCCTACCTTCTCTCCCACCCCAGCTTAAACCTTACCAAGCCTCACATCCCCTACTTTTTATTTTCATAGGACATATATTCTACAATCTCCGTCAGCCTTAAGTCCTCTGCTCTTTATCCTCTTGCCATTCATTTTTTCTTTTTGCTTCCGGCTCTCTATAGAATTACAATTTAGACATCCAATTTTAAAAACTGGAATCTGTCGGGCGTTGGTGGCACACGCCTTTAATCCCAGCACTCGGGAGGCAGAGGCAGGCGGATCTCTGTGAGTTTGAGGCCAGCCTGGTCTACAGAGTGAGTTCCAGAACAGCCTCCAAAGCCACAGAGAAACCTTGCCTCGAAAAACCAAAAAAAAAAAAAAAAAAAAAAAAACAAAGCAAAACAAAACAAAAAAACAAACAAACAAAAAAACCTGGAATCTGTGATCCACATATAAATATATGCCACATTTGATTGTAATCTTCATTTCCCAGATGACTAAAGATGTTGAACATTTTCCTAAGTATTTACTAGCTGTTTGCATTTCTTCTTTCGAGAACTTTGGGTTCGGTTTCATCACCCACTTTTAAATTGGGTTGTCTTCTTGGTACTTATTTTTTTGAGTTCTTTATGTATTCTAGCGACCAATCCCCTGTCAAATGTATAGCTGTTAAAGATTTTCTACCATCCTGTGGGCTACCTCTTCAGTCATCTTTGGGTTGCTGCACAAAAACCTTTTAGTTTCATGAGATCCTACTTACTAATTGTTGGTCCTATTTCCTTGGACTACCACACTCCCTGAGAAAGTTCTTCCCTACCTATATGCATTTAAGGGTACACCCTACTTTTTCTCTAGTAGTTTCTCAGTCTCAGGTCTTATGTTGAGGTCCTTGATTCATCTGGGATTCGGTTTTGTGCAGGCTGAAAGATAAAGATCTAGTCTCACTCTTCCTTTGGATCAAGAAATTGTCACCCACAATAAAACTGAAGTTCTGTTAACAGTCAGAAACAGATGCAAGGTCTGTAGCTTAGACAAATCTGCTGTGTACTGTATCATCTCTATTCTACCATCATCTAGCTTATTTCCCACTCCTTTACAATGATTTTCTATCAGGACAATCCAAGTCTAAAGGTTACTTCTCAGACCTCATTTGGTTAAATTACTCAGTGATATCTGAAAGCATGAGTCACGATTCTTTTGGCTTCTATGACACTATACTTTTATGGACTTCTTTCCACTTCATAATCTAACTTTGGTCTTCTCTGTTGTCCTCTCTTTATAGAAGTTGGTAAGGGGATTAGAATCCTCTAGGGATTGTGTCTGTGCTTTTTTCTTTTGTTTATAAGTATTTTCTTTTCAAGTGGCCCCATCTAAGCCCTGAGTTAAAACCAATACCTAACACCAATGACTCCAGCCATTTTGTTTCCAGATGTAGAAGGCAACATCTAAGTACCTTCTGAGACCCAGGATTAAACAACAGATTATATGTCTTAACATTCTTATTTGGATGTAATTAAACATAAAACCCTATTGAACTTGGCTGTTGGGATACTCTTTTTGTACACTGTGAGAAAATGTGTCTCTGTTTTACCTTACTTCCTAAGACAGCTTCTGATTGGTTTAATAAAAACATTTGTTTAATAAAGAGACAAACATCCAATCGCTAGGCAGGAGAGGATAGGCAGGACTTCTGGGCAGAGATAGGAACTCTGGGAAAGAATCTGAGGTGGGAGAGATTTGCCAGCCATAAACAGAGGAAGTTGGATGTATCGAATTGAGGAGAGGAAATGAGCCATGTGGCAGGGCATAGATTAATATATAGGTTAATTTAAGTTTTAAGAGCTAGTTGGGAACAAGCCTAAGCTAAGGCCAAGCTTTCATAATTACTAAAAAGTCCCTATGTCATTATTCTGGGGCTTCCAGTCCAAAGAAACCTCAGCTATATTTGGCATACAATTATACAGAAACCCCTCAAACACATTTCTTTCCCTATGTCTCTGATTTCTAAGATGACATCACAATCCACCCAGTGGTTCATTTTCAAAACACAAAATTATCTCTGATTAGAAGAGATCTTCTAATCTCTTCATATCTTGCCATTAGCACATACTATGAATTTTACTTTTAAAATACATCCTAGTTTGGTCAACGTCTATTTCTACTGTCATGTTAATTGAGGTATATTATAGTTTACTTGAATTATTGGAAAAGCTTCTAGATTTTCTTCACTCATTCTTCTCCATAGTTTCCTAGTAACAAAGTAAATGATTACAATTTCCTGTTAAAAGGTGTGTGGTAGTTTTCAGTTGCATTAAAAACAAAATCAAACTTAAGGCATTTTCAAGTTCTGTTTGGTGAATGTCTCAATGTTTTGTCTTATTTTAACCCTCTCCATTCTGGTCCCAATAAAATGATATTATGGTTTTGTCTCTGTCAAGCTTGATCTCTTCCTCTTGGAATTTACATTTAATGGAATAGGATACCGCCACTCATCCATGAGAAGTTTAAATTCAAGCCATTGGCAACAAATACTTTTAAAAGTGGGAAGCAGTTTTTGACTTCTGATGAAGAGATTCTGGGTCTGCTGTCCTGAATTTCAGTGTTGCTTTGATGCGATTTCCCCTTGCTATCTTATTCTTTTGGAACACTACTGCATGCTGGAAGTATATAATTTGATTTTTCATTGTGATTAAGAAGTTTGTTCCACTTTTTTTGGGGGGTGGGAAACTGTGTATTTATGATCATTCTTCAAAGGTTTAGGATTATAGAGGTGCACCACCATAATCATATTTTAATTGTTCTTTATGTCCATTGAAATCTGATCCAACTGTGAGTAATGTAAAGCAATAAATAAATAAAATTAAAAATTCATTTTAAGTTTAAATCCGTCACAAGCCGCTTCAGAGAACTAGTCATTGGTTACATAAAATTGAAGCTTTTTAAAATATTATACTCTATTTACTCCACATTAACTAAGTTCTCTCATCCATTTTTCCAAACTTCACACCCTTTAGGAACTTACTAGCATTTCCTTTAACTATCTTTGTCCATCACGACTTTGGCGGTCATCACGACTTTATGTTTATTCTCTTCTGGTGTATGTGTGTGTGTGTGTTCGCACGTGTGTGTGCTCGCACGTGTGCACACAAGCATAGGTGGTCTGAATGAGAATGGACCTGATAGGTTGTATATTTGAATGCTTGGTCCCCAAATATATTCACAAATTATAGCACAGAAACATGAAAATTCAAGGTGAGATGAGTCTTCCTAAAGACCGTAGCCATAACTCCTCAATTACTGAATCCAAAAATACTGAAATAGTTAAAGTGCTTGAAATCAAATCCCGTGTGCTGGGATTAAGGATGTGAGCTACTACCACCTGGCTTTCAAAAGCCTACTTTAAAAATGATCAGTGGCTTTAGATAATATTCCTTTTAGCCAGGCGTTGGTGGCACACGCCTTTAATCCCAGCACTCGGGAGGCAGAGGCAGGTGGATCTCTGTGAGTTCGAGGCCAGCCTGGTCTACAGAGCTAGTTCCAGGACAGCCTCCAAAACAGTACAGAGAAACCCTGTCTCGAAAAACCAAAAAAAAAAAAAAAAAAAAAATCTCTCTGGGGAAATACGTGGATCATTACCAGTTTTATCAGTTCAGATAAAATTCCACGTTACCTCTATACTCCACAATAAAACGTATCCTTGGCGTTCGGGTTTTTCTTTTAAACCCCGAGACTGAGCACTTTGAGAATGCACATAGTCTAGCACACACTCTCTGTAGTCCCGAAGTGAAAAAAGAAACGGCCATGAGCTTTAAAGCTTTTCTGAAAGGTTCTTTGGCCAGCGTGGAGGTCGCAGCACCCTCCTTCCTCCGCTCCCGCAAACCACACCCCACTGGTGGGAACCACAGTTTCTGCCCCGTGAGGATCGCCCATGCAACACACGCTCCCCTCCCCTGGCCAGACCAGAGTTTGCCTGGGCTGTGGTCCGCTACTCCCACGGAGCGCGCCCCGGGGTCCGCAGTCCTCCCCAGCCCCGCTCAGCACTCCTCACGGCCCCAAGCTCGCCGGAAGCCCCGCCCCAAGGGCGCCAGCGGGCTCGCGCATGCCCGGTGCGCGCAGCCTCGTCCCCGTGGGCCCGGCGGCGCGCCCGGGTCTCTTCCGCCCCGCCCCCTTTGGTCACTGCGGGGCGCGCGCAGCGGGCGCGCGGCGATTGGCTCCCTCGGGTGGCAGCGCCTCAGGCCGGAGAGACTGGGCGAGCGGAGCGGGCGCCGAGGGGTCCGGCGGCTCCCCAGGTAACGGCGTGGCCCCGGCGGGTTAGGGGAAGGGAGGGGAGTTAAGGGTGGGCTGGAGCCCGCCCGGGACTTCCGGCCGCGGTCCCGGGAGAGGCAGGAGAGCTGCGCGGGATTGGCCGGGAGCGTGCGGGCCACCCTCGAGGGCCCGCTTCGCCGCGTTCTCAGGTGACAGAGCTCCTTCTCCTTAGGTTTCGGCGGCACAGTCTTCAAAGTTAAGAGGCTGAACGTCGATCGATTCAAAAGTGTGGGTTGTTTTTCCGCCAAGCCCCGGCGAGTTAGGGTCTTTCGGTCGCCGCTGGAGGACCGAAGCGATGTGTAGTTCTCACCCTTGAAAGTGCGAGCAGAACTCCAGTGTTGCTCAACACGCGCGGAGCCTGCTCCAGTGGGATGCGGATGGAAGCAAACTCCGGTTTTTCTAACTGGAGGGTGACACCACCCAATAGTATTAGCGAAGTACTTGAAGCTCTATGGAAGAGCTGGCTAGACTACACATTCGCAGGATAGGAGAGGGTGGTAAAGAAAAAGAAACCACCTTTCTAAGAGGACAGGTCTTTGGGTGGGCTCCGCCGAGCATTTTTATGTGAGTCAATTCCCAGTGGCCCTGGACAAACATAGGATAGCTTTAACCAACTATTGCAAGTTACTCACTTTGTGAAGTGTCTTCTGTCTGGAAAGGATCTCACGCAAAACGACAGTTGCATAGTAATCATTCCATAGGCTGTCATCCCGTGCCTATTTGCCAGGAATTGCCTCCGTCAGGTTGTTCTAAGGCATGCCTGTGGACATTTTCTTGATTAATTTGATTAATGATTGGTTTTGGAGGGTTCAGATCACTTTGGGTGGCATGGCCGCTAGGCAGATGATCCTCAGTTGTATAAGAGAGCAAGCAGGGTTACTCCCTGGTCTCTGCTTCAATTCCTGTGTCCAGGTTCCAGCCTTGAGTTCCTTTGTAAGCTTCCTTGGGTGATAGAAAGACCCCCCCCCCCACTTTAGTCATGGTATTTATCAAAGCCAACAGAAACCAAACTATATTACACCCTATGGTAGTATGCCAGTAAAATGGGGCTTACTTTTTAAAAGTAAGATAATACGAATTGTTTCATTAGATAAAAGTAATGATGGCAAAACAAATATGAATAGGAGACTGACACACTTTTTCTTCAAAGACACACAGACTATGGAATAAAAATCTTTGCGTGATAACTTTAAAATGTTTAAGTCATGTGTACCACTCATTGCATTTTCATGATGTATATACTCTTTTATCTAGTACCAAGATGAAGAAACAACATAATAAGGGAGGGAGAAATCGATCATCCGGTTAAGAGCACAGACCCTGGCTTGATTCCCAGCATTTACATGGTGCACCAAGCATCTGTAACTGTAGTTCCAAGAAATCTGATGCCTTCTTCTGCCCTCTTAGCATGATTGCATGCGCTGTGTATGCTTGCAGTGCCAAGACATGCATGTGGTCAAAATACTAACTTACATAAAGTTAAAGGTTACATTTTTTTAAAACAGCATAATAGTATTTACATCCCAGAAAACCCCACTTGTGCCCTCTTTCCAATAGTAATCATTGCATTTGAGTTTACTTACATAGGAAACCAAGGGACTGAAACCGTTACAGCCTAATGGTCTCCTGGTTTATTATTTTGGCTGAGTACTTGGACTGGATTTGTGCTGTGGGCTGTAGTTTGCCAACCCCTGCTGAATTAAAAAGTGGCTGCTCAGTACCACTACAGCTTTTCCCTGCCTGTTATCTCGGTTAGCATTTATAGCGGACATCTTATGTTTTTAGGTGGTGAATTTAATACATATTAGAAGTATGTTGAGGCAACATTTAGTGTAATAATGAAAACTTCTTTGATTGTTAAGCAAACACAATTTAAGATAGGCCACACCTTCTGACACAATAAGAGTTTATATAAGCACTTTTAAAATAAATTCTAATGGATTGTCTGTTAGGCTAGGCAGCAGTAAGTAACAAATTACCAGTTACTAAAATCAGAAAAAAAAATTAGTGAAAGAAATAGCTCTTCGTGCGAGTTTAAAGAACAGAACTATAATTGCCAGGCGTTGGTGGCACATGCCTTTAATCCCAGCACTTGCGAGGCAGAGGCAGGCGGATCTCTGTGAGTTAGAGGCCAGCCTGGTCTACAGAGCTAGTTCCAAGACAGCCTCCAAAGCAATGCAGAGACATCCTGTCTCGAAAAACAAAATAAAAAAAAGAGCAGAACTATATTTTAGTTCTCTCTCACTTTTTATGTATTTATTTATAATTTTAAACAGGGCCTCTAATCCTGTCCTCTAGGTTAGCCTCAAACGAGCTAAGTTAAGGATGCCCTTAGTCCTGAGTCTCCTGTTTCTGACTCTGGAGAGTTGTATGCTAGTATTACAGATGTGTACTACTATCATTATTATTTTAAAGAAACAGGTCTCTCTGTGTTGCTCTGACTGGCCCTGAACTCTTGGCTTCAAGCCATCTTCCTGCCTTAGCCTACCAAGTAGCTGATACTACAGCTGTGGGCCACTGCACTTGTTTACTTAAATATGTTTGGGAATAATTAATTTCATGTCCTGAAATACTAACTTTAATCATAGCTTTATACCCTATTTTTTCCCTTGGGTTATAGTTTTTGCTATTTTTATTCTCCAATCTGGCAACATAAATTACTATTTTAAAGAGGTGACTGACTTGTTGCTTCACTAAAATGGGTGACTAATGGGGCAAATTTGCCATAGAACTGTTTTTGGCAGTTAGAGTAACCCTGGTTCTGATATTGCTAAAATGGAAAGTATTCTTTTGAATTTTATTCTATTTTGAATATACGTAAGTTTAGTTTTGTATTAGGTGACTTGTATATACACATTGAGATTGATTTCAGTGTGCTTGGATTTACAAGTTTTACAGGATTCATTTCCTTGCAGTCTATAACTCTAATGTTATTGTTTCTTTTGAAACATGCTAATATCTCTTTGATTTTTTTTTGACAATCTCTATTTAGTCCTTGACTGTCTTAGAAGTTGTTATGTAGATAGATCAGGCTGGTCTTGAAATCAGATTGCTCCTTCTGCCTCTGCTTTCCAAGTGCTAGGGTTAAAGGCGTGTACCATTGCACAGGGCTTCTTTGTAGTTTTATCTTAAGGATTTTGCTAATGAATTTTTAAAAATAAAAAAAATGATAATAACTTAAAAACTTTATTGTGAAATGTAATGCATATAGAGATAAATAAAATACAAAATATAGACATTTTTTGAACAAATGAATAATCATTAAAACTTGTTACAGATTTGTGTATGGCTATTTACAAAACGTGTCTGTACATGTAATATGGATTCATCAGTGGATGGATTGTTTTTTATGTGTCTTTTTTTTTTTTTTTTTTTTTTTTTTTGGTTTTTACAAGACAGGGTTTCTCCGCCTGCCTCTGCCTCCCAAATGCTGGGATTAAAGGCATACGCCATCACCGCCCGGCTTTATGTGTCTTATTAATGTTGTTGCTCAATTCTTTTTCATTAATGTTTTGTATATGTATGTCTCTATGTCTTAATAGTGATAATTGCTGGCAATTTGCTATATGTTAAAACTTTATAATAACGGAGTCTGTTTCTCCCTGGACACACACACACACACACACACACACACACACACACACACACCCCTACCTATTTTCTGAGGTCATGTTACTCAAAGTATTCTGGTTTATGGGTAATTATTTTCACGTAAGTGAGACATACTCTTTTTTCAGTGACTCAGTTCATCTTTAGTGATGCTTTTTGTTTTAAAACTTAGTCTGATTTTTTTTAAAACAACTTATTTTTGAAATAAGGTTTCTTGTTGAGAAGTTAAAAAATAGTATATACTGTCTCTGGCTTATAATCTTTCACCTTAAGATTTTTTTGGCTTTGGGATGGTGAGAAACTCAAATTTGTAATTTCAGTCTTTATTCAGGCTTGGTGTAAGCATGGTGAGATACTGTTATTCATGACACTGGGCAGTGGTAGCAAGCTGCAGTTCCTAGGTGGTATCAGGAGAACCAACAGCTGGTGGTCTTTGGTACATTGTGTTTAGCTGGATATTTGATAGCTTACGTGTATTCGATGCATTTTCGATACATTTATCAGGATGTAGTCCATCAGAAACCAAAGAACATCTTTCTAGAATTCTGTATTCTCCGTATATTTTTAATGTTAGCATGATATACTATGATTATAATGTACAAATATAATCTACTTCACTAAATAACTCACTAAATGTTTATATATAATATAATTTGCATATATAAGTTTATATTTATATAAACTATAAATACATTTTTAGTGAACTTTTTGTACTGTGTTATTTTGTAAGCTATAATACTTTAGCATTCTTTTGCTGCTTATGGTAAAGACTATAACATCCATTATGTGTCTCTTACATGGGCAGTGGTACGTGCTTGTATTTTAATATTTAAACAGCACTGCAGCATATATTCTTGTCCATATGCATCTTACCTTTTGTGAGAGGTTAGATTTCTGCAAAGAGAATTGTGAACTCAAAAAGGTTGCATATTTAAAGCTGTAATCCATGTTTGGGGACATTCTTATTTTTTTCTTTTAAATGGTGTAGTTTTTATAAAGTATAAATATTTCATTTAAACTTTTTAAGGCAAACTCCTTTCACACAAACAACCTTCATTGAAAATTAGTTGTACTGTATTTTATCTCCTTTTTTTCCCTGAACTTGTAGTTCAAACAAGAGAAACCTTAACACTGGCATTTATTTGTGAAAGTTGCTTACAAAAGTCCTGAATGTTTTCAGAGAGAACATAAAAACGGGCTATCAAAACACAATAATAAAATTGAATATGCTAACATCAGTCTTCTTGCTAGCACTATCAGCTGCTGAAATACAGTGTTTCAGTCACTTTACAATTTGAAGGACAAGACTTTCCATACCCAAGCCTATAGAAGAAAGTCAGGAATCTGAAGAATGGAGAATGGATGCAGAATAAAG